AAGTTATTATCCTATCTGATAATAATCCAATGCAGAGGCAATAATGTAATATAATACATTATTTTATATATATATTATATATTTATATAGTTACAACCGGCCCTTTGAGTGCAACCTTTATACGAATGTGGCCCGTGATGAAATTGAGTTTGACACCCCTGCCATAGAGGATGTGACGTCCACCTCCCAATTAAAACATGTTCATAGAATACTAAATGCATTTGAAGGCTTTTTATATAAACTGTCCACCGTGTATTGGTCTTTTGTCGAGGTTTTTCATTGCCAGCTAAAATCTTGCATATAGGGCAGCAAATTGGTCAGAACCAGCCCTGGTGTCATCCCCACAGCCCCCCCCCCCCCATTTGAAACATGTTCCCACAGCTATAGATGCCTAAGTCCATGAGTGGGAAATATAATCTACGTACTCGTCCAGTATTGGATCTGCTAAAGTTTCACCATCCCGGAATAAAACAATAAATCTATCTGGGTTATTGGGTTATTGGGTTATTGGGTTATTTTTCAATATTTGGCAGATGGGACCAGAAAGGGAGGTGTAGCTCAACAGGAACCTTTGATCTTGTGTTGGGGAACATTGACTCTGTAAACACGACTCTTAAAGTATGTGGGTCACACTGCAGCTTTTCTAAGTAAAATACTTTGATAAATGGTAGATTTAAACGCTTTTGCCTTTTTACTTCTGATGCTAACTGATGTGAGTCCCATGGTCCCCGGAAGTGGCTGAATTACTTTAAATATAGTGTATATATTCAGGTTTACAATACACGTCCTATTCTTCATAAAGCAGGAGGCTAGGACACCCACAGCCAATTACTAAGCACATCTATGTAAGGAGGTCTTTTTAGGTTTTAAACAATAATATGATATATGAGGATTTGACTTCTAATGGATTATTTGTACTTTCCTTCATGCACTGGTTAATACTGCTTATAATACTAATACATCAATATGTTGCTCATTTTGTTCTGCATTAGATACATGCTAATGTTTTTCAAGTTCACTTTACTTAGCTTACTTTACTTATTTTCTCATGTATTTATATGTAAGGACCTACAATCTTTATAGCCTGGTTAATCCATGTCTTTATCGATTGATTATTCAACCAATCAGTCAATGTATTTTTCCTCAAAGGGTAACTAGAAAGGCGACCAAAACATTTTCAGATAAAAGTGTTGACATCAAAATTGTTACATTGCAATTTAAATAGGGGGATCTGTGGATTTCCATTATCTGGAAATGTTGGAAATGTAACCCTCCTGTTTTCTCGTAACAGCAAACTAAAGTGCAAACACGCACGCGCCCATGCACGCACACATTAGGAAACCTGAGCAAACCTTTTTGTTCAGCTGATCAGAGGTTTGCTATAAAAGCCCCGGCTGCCTCCCACACTCTATGCTCTTCTGACCTGAGACCCAACATGCAGACTCTCCTCCTTGTGGCGCTGCTCGGATCCCTGGGTACAAAACATTTCATATTCATGCACAGGCATCGTTTAATCACAGATTTACCTAAAAAGCTCAATGATTCTGCTTTGGCATTTATTTACCCGTGTATCTGTGTTTGCAGCCGCTGTGTTCGCGGCCCCCGCTGCCAAGGTCAAATGGTGCGTAAAGTCAGAGAAAGAGCTGGAAAAATGCGTCGCCCTCGCAGCCATAGCTCCTGCTTTCACCTGCGTGACGAAATCTAACACCATCGAGTGCATCATGGCCATTAAGGTGAGGAGAGTGACCAGTGGTGTAAAGTAACTAAGTACATTTACTCAAGTACTTGAGTATTTCAACATTTTGCTACTTTGTACTTTTTCCCCACTACAATTCAGAATTGAAATCGTGTACCTTTACTCCACTTATCCATCTATTTAATATATTTAGTTCCTTAACCCTTATGTTGTGTTGGGGTCTCCCGTGACCCGTTTCAAGTTAAAATGATATAATAACTACGCTCTAGTTTGTTGTATTGGAACAAGGCTTCATGATATCCTCCACACCAGCTATATAAACACTACAAAACTGATGTTGACCATTTTAGACAAGTCTGAAGGTCTCTAAAAAAAAAGTGTATAATTTGGTGTTGGGGTCTGGGGAGACCCAGCAGCATGTTGTGGGTCTCTCGGGGTCAAATTTGGCCCAATCAAGATTCTTCTTTGTCTTTAGACACCCCACCCCCACCCCCTTCATCCACTGTAACAATCATTTAAAACTTTTTTGGGGGAAATTGTATTCTAATAGTCTATTATAGTCAGATAACGTAATGATCCACTGTCTTCCCTATAGGAAATATAATGAGTGAATTAAATCACATGTTTTACTTAAATATGTGGTGTAATGTTTTTTGGGGCCATAAAATTAAATTGCAACAGGATTGTAGGGTTATGTACGCATTAGAAGTTAGTTATGATGTAGTTGAAACAATATTGGATGATAGTCATTATTTGTGTGTGTTTTGGACTGAGATAAATCATGGGTCAAAATTGACCCGCGAGCACCATGAACGGTAACAGCTTTCGAACACAACACAAGGTTAAACAACACTAAAATAAGACTTTAGTTACACAGGGAGTAACATTCACAAGTTACCCTTACAAAGTAAATACAAGTAGCTGCACCTTTACCAGCTTTGATAATATAATTAAAACATATCATACATTATTCTGGAATGGGACAATTTGCATAATAAATACTTTTACTTTCGGTACTTTGAGCATATTTTTTGATGCCAATACTTTTGTACTTTTTATTGGATAACATTCTGAATGACTTGTACTTGTAAAAGAGTATTTCTACACACTGGTAATTGTATTTAAGTACACGATCTGAGTACTTCTCCCACCTCTGAGAGTGATATACCCAGGGAATGCATACTGGGAGTATGCTGGTAGTATACTATGGAGTGCTCCATAAGGAATCACATCAAAAATATTATTCAAAACGTTGTCTTCAGTTTGATTTTATATTTCAGCCAATGAAAATGGCTAATACATGGCGAAAAGTGATGAAGGAGGAAAGATCATCACCTTTTTTGAAAGTAGCAACAGCACAATGTGAATATTTTTAATAATATTTACAGGAAAGCTTGTCTAAAAAAAGTATCCACAGCCAAATATTCCTTAAAGGGGACCTATCATGCAAAATGCACTTTTGTACGTCTTTTCTACATGAATATGTGTCCCCGGTGTTCCAGGGAACTCACCAAGTGTCAGAAAACACAACCCTCTCTATTTTCCTCCATACCCAAATCTCTAAAAAAGGGGCTGCAACGGATCTGATAAAAACTGATCCAGATTTGAACACTGTCCTGACGTCAGGACGGTGGCGCTACGGCTATTGGGCCAACTCCACCAATCAGGAGGAGACAGCCACGGCCATTGCCGTTCGAAAGCGCTGGAGACGCTGTAGTACATATGCCAGGCCTGTAGGTGGTGCTGTTCTCACTGAATCTGCCCTTGCTAAAACAGATGTAAAAAATGTCAAATTGAGCAAAATGAGGCATGGCTAAAATGCATGATCTGTTTGGTATTTTGAAAAAAAAAAAGTATAAATATGCCTTATATAGGTATGGTCCTACACTATATTATTCAAATATAGCATGATAGGTCCACTTTAAATATCTATAGTATAGTGGGCTACACAGGATTTCCATTAATCATATTATTATTTATTAAATGTTTTATTCTTTTAGCTGGTCAATATAGAGCTACTTTGTTGAGTAATTGTCATCGATAACATTGCATCATATCTAATCAAATACATCATCTCAACCTGGAAATCCACTGCAGTAATCCTGTGAAGTAAAAATAACAATATTTTCATATTAATTTAATATGTATTAAATTGAAGTTCTCAAGTATAGGAGAAGTATTGTTGAAAAACAGTTTTTGAACAACTGCATTTAGTTACACACAAGTTATGCAATATAACCATTGATCACATGTTGGTGCAGGTTGGTAATAAATGGTGCTTTAAAACAGGCTGGTGAGGCAGATGCCATCACTTTGGACGGAGGGGACATCTACACTGCTGGACTGAACAACTACAACCTGGAGCCCATTATTGCTGAGGACTACGGTACCTGTAAGTAAACACATCAGCCGTCTTTACTGATGAAATTCTCTGATGTATTAAATACGTGTTTTTAATTTGTGCTCACATTTGTTCTGCACTCATCCAGCTTCAGAAACCTGCTACTACGCTGTTGCTGTGGTGAAGAAGGGCACTACATTTGGCATCAAAGGGCTCCAGGGGAAGAAATCCTGCCACACTGGCGTGGGTAAATCTGCAGGCTGGAACATCCCCGTAGGCACTCTGGTGTCCATGAACTTAATTCAGTGGTCAGGCGTTGAAGACACCTCTGTGGAAGACGGTGAGTAACACTGAATCTTACGACAATCCAAAAAACAGAATCAATATGTCACTATAATTATGTCCTCAGTATTTCTTCTTTGGAATTTGTATAATTTTAGATCCCTGCAACCTCATTTATTGTAAAGTTCTTCAAGTTTACTGTGGCAGTTTTCAAATGTGGTTAATGTTGGACATTTAAACAAAATGCAACTAAACCACATGCTTCTGTTGAGTCAAATGTGATGGTTTGACTTTAAAAGAAAAGTACATTTGTTATGTTATTTAAATTACAGACGGAAATCAGAAAAGTGAACCGAAGACATTTGTGCAAAAACAAACTATCCGGGAGAAAAAATGTGTTTCTCAAAACGTACCTGAAAAGGCCGTTTTAAAATGTTTAGGAGACCAGGATCAATCTTTTTACAACACTCAGTAAGAAGCATATTTCCGGAAAATATTAAACATAGTTATAGTTTTATAGACTTAGTTAAACAAGTATTTGTATGCCCAATGTGTTTAATTTGACTATTTACGGGCAACAAAAACATAATATAACATTTGAAGCAGCTCCATCGTGTAAAGAACTCAAAAAACAGCATTTCTAAAATCTCTTTTTGTGCACAGCGGTGAGCAACTTCTTCTCCGCCAGCTGTGCCCCAGGGTCAGCGCGTGGCAGCAAACTGTGCGAGCTGTGCCGTGGAGACTGCTCCTGGTCCCACAACGAGCCTTACTACGGCTACGCCGGAGCCTTCCAGTCAGTATCTCCTCTACACGGTTAACTTTCAATATGATCACAGCTCCATCCTGGGACTCTTTTGTTTAATGGACCTGTTGGTTTGTAACAGGTGTCTGAAGGACGGCGCTGGAGATGTGGCTTTTGTGAAGCATCTCACTGTCCCTGGTCAGTGTCACATTTGAATGTATTCTATTCGTTTTTGAATAATTGACTTATATATTAATGTTAGCCAAGCTTATTTGTTTAAAATATGTTTTTACAAACTGTAATTATGTATCAGTAATTGTTCTAATGAAAATCTTTTGAAGCTTTAATCACATACTCATATGAGAATTAGTTTTACTGTTAAATTACGCTTGGATTTAAAACCACGGCTAAGATTCTCACTCTTGGTCATAATTGCCATAACTGATATCATATTTGTGGGATTTGACCAATGAAATGAACAGAACTTGACAAAATGTGGTATCAGTTTTTGACTGATTGTAGGAGTGATATTTATAACATTGTTGTATCACACTTTCAGATTCCGAAAAGCAAGACTATGAGCTGCTGTGCAAGGATGACACCAGAGCGCCTATTGACGACTACAGGACCTGCCATCTGGCCAGAGCACCGGCTCACGCAGTCGTCAGCCGCAAGGACGCGCAGCTTGCTGACTTAATCTGGAATAGCCTCAACTCAACACAGGTATGACACAAAATATCTGTACTGCACAAAGATCGAGGAGTAACGTTGAATAGGTGAGGAGATGGAGGAATACAGTGAGTCAGGACATAAAATGACTAGGGCTGTCAGTCGATTAAAATATTTAATCGCGATTAATCGCATGATTGTCCATAGTTAATCGCGATTAATCGCAAATTAATCGCACATTTTGTATCTGTTCTAAATGTACCTTAGAGGGATATTTTTCAAGTTTTTAATACTCTTATCAACATATGAGTGGACAACTATGCTTTATATGTTTGTTTATTATCATTTGAACAATGACAAATATTCTCATGAATATTAAACACAACAACCTGAACATTACAAATATTCACCTCAATTCAACCTGGAACCTCTTTCATACAATAATACTGTGTGTGTGTGTGTGTGTGTGTGTGTGTGTGTGTGTGTGTGTGTGTGTGTGTGTGTGTGTGTGTGGGTGTGTGTGTGTGTGTGTGTGTGTGTGTGTGTGTGTGTGTGTGTGGGTGGAGACACTGTGATGGATCGTTGGAGCTACAGTATGTGCAGCTCAAGGCATATATGCTCGAACGGGAGCTGCAATCATGTTGCGCGTACTATCCGTGCTGAGTGTGCTGACTTTTCGTACAATGTCACACTGTCTGGCTACCTGCATAAAGTCAAGTGCTCGGCGCAGTTGTCGGCGAAATGTCATTGAAACAGCTCCTTATATCCGTTAGCGCAGCTAGCTAGCACCAGATGCTAACAACAACAACACGTAAGGTGTGCCTCGCTCGCGCGAGTCGCCCCACACATACACACCCTCCCGGTCCTCCCGATGGCCAGTCCGGGCCTGCCAGTGAGCGTGGAAGTGGGCACAAGCGGGTACAAGCGGGCGGCAGGAGCGGGGCTGTCAGCATCAGCTTGTAGATGGTATTTTAAACTCGATGCGCTCTGAAACTACGGGGCGGCCGAGGACAACAAATACACATGCGTTAATCGCGTTAAAATAATTAGTGGCGTTAATTTTTTTTTGCGTTAACGCGTTATTAACGCGTTAACTTGACAGCCCTAAAAATGACTGATTCAAACATGTTACTTTTAAACCTTTCAGGACTTTCAACTCTTCTCTTCTGAAAACTATGCACCTTCCAAAAACCTGATGTTCAAGGACTCAACAGTCAGGCTGGTGAGGCTGCCTGCAAACACAGACTCCTTCCTGTATCTGGGTGCTGAATACATGAGCATTGTCCGCTCCCTTCAGAAAGGTACTGTTAACACACAGATAGAACACACATACTGTAGAGACAGGCAACACAAAACAAAATGTCCACTGGTCAATTTTAAGAATGTAGGCTATTTTACTACTTTATCATGTTAGACTAGTGGATAGAAATCATTCAAATTAAACATGAAGGTGTTTCTTTTACTAATCTTTTTGCATCTGAAGATTTCATTTCTAAACCAAAAGTTAGCATTAGATAATTCCTTATTTGCACATTTAAACATTTCAGAAAACTCATAAAATGTAAGTAATCTACTGAAGAAATGTCATGTATATACTAATGTAAACCTTGTACCCTATTCACCTGTAGTGTCTCTCCCAGAACTTGCAAACCATCACTCAAACACACTTATTTAGTTGCAGACACTGACTCTTGTTACGTAACCTTCCAGAGCCAGCAAGCTCTGCTTCCTCCGCCATTAAATGGTGCGCTGTGGGCCACGCTGAGACCACCAAGTGTGACATGTGGAGCACCAACAGTCTGGGTGATGGCAGCACCGCCATTGAATGCCAGAATGCCACCACAGTTGAAGAATGCGTGAAAAAGATTATGGTAAGACTCTTGATGAAGAAAATATGGGAATATCTTTAATATCTATTTAGTTTTGATTCAGTGGTGTTTTATTCTGATGCTATATTTGACCCTGTAGCGCAAAGAGGCTGATGCGATGGCAGTGGATGGAGGTCAGGTGTACACAGCAGGAAAGTGCGGCCTGGTGCCAGCTATGGTGGAGCAGTATAGTGCAGGTATGAGGCCTACATAGAAACCATCCCATACAATCCTGTGTTTGAACTGTTACACATTCATAATATTTGGATCTCTGTCTGTCTCCACAGATTTTTGCAGCAACCCTGGAGGTAAAATGAAATGTTAAAATATTGATAAGTATATTTGATAACAAAATAACATACATTTACCTGGTACTTTTAACTTGAACCATAAAGATTAGGAGTGTGTGATCAAATGCAGCCTTGAGGACCAAAACATGGTTTTAATGTCACAATATTACAAATGAAAAAAGACAAGTTTTTAAAAGAGAAGCCCCATTTGATTCTAATGAAGTGTACAGAGTGAAAACCTTTTATTCTCTTAAATAACACTTTGTGAAAATGATTAGGAAATTACAGAGCAGATGATCTTTCAAATTGAATTATCTATAACTTCAAATGATGTTGCACAAAACGTTTGTAATTGGAGTCCTTCTGTACTTCCACTCTTGCAGGCACGGCCTCGTACTATGCTGTTGCTGTGGTAAAGAAGAGTTCAGGTCTGACCTGGGACACGTTGAAGAGCCACAGGTCTTGCCACACTGGACTCGGCAGAACTGCTGGCTGGAACATCCCCATGGGTCAAATCCACAAACAGACTCAAGACTGTGACTTCAGTAAGCGACCGTGTGCTCTTCCCATGTGCAAATACGTAACGAAAGACACGGAAAGCTGCCAAGATTATGTTTGTGATCAACAATATAAAGACTTTTTTTATTGAATGCGCAGTATTTACAAAGTTTTAGGAACTAAACATCATTCTTTTGTACGTTTTTAGTGCGTTTAGACAACTCAAAGCGCTTGGTTAGATAAGCTTAAGACTATTAATACTATTTTTCACATAGACAACACTGTTTGGATCTCTGAGATGTAAAATCCAAAAAACAGCAATTACAGCTCATCACCATGGTGACCAAAGAAACAAAACAGATCATTTAGGTTTTCACAGTTCTGTGGTTTGCATACCCAACATCAACTCCGACCACCTCCCTATGACCTAGAACAAATTGAAATGATCCTAGAGAAAAAAACTAAATTCTCAGGGAACACAATTAACACAATAACGTTTTCTCCAAAATCATGCACTAGAAATGCAGGTTTTAGGATCCATGATTAGTTTCCTTCCTTCCTCTGAGTGTAACACCTGCCTCCTTCGTCTCGTCCTCTCCTCAGCCAAGTTCTTCAGCAGCGGCTGTGCCCCCGGATCAGACCCCAGCTCTCCGTTCTGTTCTCAGTGTGCCGGCAGTGGAAAGACGGTGGGAGATGAGTCAAAGTGCAGTGCCAGTGCTGAAGAGCAGTACAACGGCTACGCAGGAGCTTTTAGGTAGGACAAAGGACAGTGGACATTCATCCACATTCAAACCTTTTTCAGTTTCAATCCTGGTAGCCAAGAAATAGCACAAACTCCTCATAAAACCCCAAAACACACATATGTTTGTGTATGGCATAAAAACTGAAGATATCGTGTATTAATTAATGAACTTCTTTGCTGCTAATAAACCATTTTATTTGACTTTTCAAGAGAGCTAGCTAGCTGTTTCCCTATGCTTTATTCTTTATGCTAAGTTAAGCTAACTTCCACCTGACTTTAGCCCTTTACCTAACATTCAGGGGTATCAATCTTCTGCTCTAATAAAGCAAATAAAGGTATTTCCATGGTATTTACTTTCTCTTCCAGAGCACCTCATCTTTGTGTTGTTATGTTGTGCATGTCATTATAGGTGTTTGGTTGAGGATGCAGGGGAGGTTGCTTTCATAAAACACACAATTGTTCCAGAAAACAGCAATGGTGAGAGACTGACACTTACCTGTCTTAATCTCAGCTATGAATGTGTTATTTATATAAACCTAAACCATCCTCCACCTCTTCTTGTCAAAGGCAATGGTCCAGCATGGGCTAGTGGAGTAAACGCTGATGACTACCAGCTGATCTGCCCTGGGCAGGCTGCCCCAGTGGAAATCTCAGAGTACGCCAAGTGTAACCTGGCTGCTGTGCCCGCCCACGCTGTGGTGACGCGTCCGGAGACCCACAGCGAGGTTGTTCGATTCCTTCTTGAACAGCAGGTCAGTGATGATTTAGGTCATGAGGCATAAGATAAAGAATAAAACATGCATTTTTTCTAACTTTCAACAGCATTGTTTTAACTCTAAACCCGGGTCAAATTCTGGCCTTGTAAATAGGTCTGTTTCTAAATCTTTGTTTTTGTCTACAGGCCAAGTTTGGTAGCAGTGTCAGTGATGCCCCATTCAGGATGTTCCAGTCAGGTTCAGGGAAAAACCTCCTCTTCAAGGACTCCACCAAATGTCTCCAGACGATTCCGGCTGGAACAAGTTTTGAAACCTTTTTGGGAGCAGAGTACATGACTGCCATGAATTATCTCAGACAGTGCGGTGAAACCACTCCAGGTTAGTACTACTGTTTGGTCATAACTTTTTTAATTGTATTTTTGTATCTTAGACATATCAAAATACATATTTGCATCTGCTCGGCATACCCAATTCCGTTTTTGTAACTTTTTTTTCCTCAACAGATCTGGAGAAATCTTGCACTTTCCATTCCTGCCAGCAAAAAAACTAGTGGCAATCAGGGACCAAGAGGTGCCTTATTCAGCCATGAGTGATACGGGCACCTCCCTTCCCACACTCAATCCCCAAATTGCCTTTTGTATTTTCTTACTGATCTTTTCTTACTGATCTTTTCTTACTGATTTTTTAAAAGTATAACCAATAATTGCACTACCACAACTTACAGATCAACTTTCATGTAAACAATCACTACCACCTCTAGCTTTTTTCATGCTGGTGTAACATATGTTACAATACCTTTGTTATTGGATCCACTATGTTACGTTAACCCCACGGACCCGCCGAAGGGTCCGTGGGGTTTATGTAACATAGTGGATCCAATACCTTTGTTATTGGATCCACTATGTTACGTTAACACGTGCCTGACTGTTCTCAAATAAAGCCTTTTAATGTTCTTTTGTGGTGACAGTATGTTGTTTTTTTGGATTAATGCCTTAGCATTCATATTGAGTGTCATTAAAAGTACACAGTAGTATCGTAGTGAAAAAGGACAATATTTGTTGTCCCCCAATTCGCTTCATGGGCCAGAAACAGTCTGGAATAAACCGATTTATTGGCTGTAATCTGTAACTTTAAATCTTTGTTGTAAAACACAGCTGGAGTCTATAAGGTCTTAAAAGTGCATACATGGGGTTGAGTATCATTAATCAAAATTAAATAAGAATTCATTGGAAAAAATAAGAGCTTTTTGGGGAATTATTCAGAAGCGAGGTGTTGCAATAGTCCTTGAAAGAATGGAAGTTACTTTTAGATAAAGTAGAGACACTACATACTGATATACACCTGAACATCAGCAGGAGAGGACTCTTTAAAGTAGAGACACTACAAACTGATATACACCTGAACATCAGCAGGAGAGGACTCTTTAAAGTAGAGACACTACATACTGATATACACCTGAACATCAGCAGGAGAGGACTCTTTAAAGTAGAGACACTACATACTGATATACACCTGAACATCAGCAGGAGAGGACTCTTTAAAGTAGAGACACTACATAGTGATATACACCTGAACATCAGCAGGAGAGGACTCTTTAAAGTAGAGACACTACATACTGATATACACCTGAACATCAGCAGGAGAGGACTCTTTAAAGTAGAGACACTACATACTGATATACACCTGAACATCAGCAGGAGAGGACTCTTTAAAGTAGAGACACTACATAGTGATATACACCTGAACATCAGCAGGAGAGGACTCTTTAAAGTAGAGACACTACATACTGATATACACCTGCACATCAGCAGGAGAGGACTCTTTAAAGTAGAGACACTACATACTGATATACACCTGAACATCAGCAGGAGAGGACTCTTTAAAGTAGAGACACTACATACTGATACATACCTGAACCTCAGCAGGAGAGGACTCTTTAAAGTAGAGACACTACATATTGATATACACCTGAAAATCAACAGGAGAGGACTCTTTAAAGTAGAGACACTACTTACTGATATACACCTGAACATCAGCAGGAGAGGACTCTTTAAAGTAGAGACACTACTTACTGATATACACCTGAACATCAGCAGGAGAGGACTCTTTAAAGTAGAGACAATACATACTGATATACACCTGAACATCAGCAGGAGAGGACTCTTTAAAGTAGAGACACTACATACTAATATACACCTGAACATCAGCAGGAGAGGACTCTTTAAAGTAGAGACACTACATACTGATATACACCTGAACATCAGCAGGAGAGGACTCTTTAAAGTAGAGACACTACATACTGATATGCACCTGAACATCAGCAGGAGAGGACTCTTTAAAGTAGAGATACTACATACTGATGTACACCTGAACATCAGCAGGAGAGGACTCTTTAAAGTAGAGACACTACATACTGATATACACCTGAACATCAGCAGGAGAGGACTCTTTAAAGTAGAGACACTACATACTGATATACACCTGAACATCAGCAGGAGAGGACTCTTTAAAGTAGAGACACTACTTACTGATATACACCTGAACATCAGCAGGAGAGGACTCTTTAAAGTAGAGACAATACATACTGATATACACCTGAACATCAGCAGGAGAGGACTCTTTAAAGTAGAGACACTACTTACTGATATACACCTGAACATCAGCAGGAGAGGACTCTTTAAAGTAGAGACAATACATACTGATATACACCTGAACATCAGCAGGAGAGGACTCTTTAAAGTAGAGACACTACATACTAATATACACCTGAACATCAGCAGGAGAGGACTCTTTAAAGTAGAGACACTACATACTGATATACACCTGAACATCAGCAGGAGAGGACTCTTTAAAGTAGAGACACTACATACTGATATGCACCTGAACATCAGCAGGAGAGGACTCTTTAAAGTAGAGATACTACATACTGATGTACACCTGAACATCAGCAGGAGAGGACTCTTTAAAGTAGAGACACTACATACTGATATACACCTGAACATCAGCAGGAGAGGACTCTTTAAAGTAGAGATACTACATACTGATGTACACCTGAACATCAGCAGGAGAGGACTCTTTAAAGTAGAGACACTACATACTGATATACACCTGAACATCAGCAGGAGAGGACTCTTTAAAGTAGAGACACTACATACTGATATGCACCTGAACATCAGCAGGAGAGGACTCTTTAAAGTAGAGATACTACATACTGATGTACACCTGAACATCAGCAGGAGAGGACTCTTTAAAGTAGAGACACTACATACTGATATACACCTGAACATCAGCAGGAGAGGACTCTTTAAAGTAGAGACACTACATACTGATATACACCTGAACATCAGCAGGAGAGGACTCTTTAAAGTAGAGACACTACATACTGATATACACCTGAACATCAGCAGGAGAGGACTCTTTAAAGTAGAGACACTACATACTGATATACACCTGAACATCAGCAGGAGAGGACTCTTTAAAGTAGAGACACTACATACTGATATACACCTGAACATCAGCAGGAGAGGACTCTTTAAAGTAGAGATACTACATACTGATATACACCTGAACATCAGCAGGAAAGGACTCTTTAAAGTAGAGATACTACATACTGATATACACCTGAACATCAGCAGGAGAGGACTCTTTAAAGTAGAGATACTACATATTGATATACACCTGAACATCAGCAGGAGAGGACTCTTTAAAGTAGAGATACTACATACTGATATACACCTGAACATCAGCAGGATAGGACTCTTTAAAGTAGAGACACTACATACTGATATACACCTGAACATTAGCAGGAGAGGACTCTTTAAAGTAGAGACACTACATACTGATATACACCTGAACATCAGCAGGAGAGGACTCTTTAAAGTAGAGACACTACATACTGATATACACCTGAACATCAGCAGGAGAGGACTCTTTAAAGTAGAGATACTACATACTGATATACACCTGAACATCAGCAGGAGAGGACTCTTTAAAGTAGAGACACTACATACTGATATACACCTGAACATCAGCAGGAGAGGACTCTTTAAAGTAGAGACACTACATACTGATATACACCTGAACATCAGCAGGAGAGGACTCTTTATTCTATCTTTTCCTCTTCTCCTCCAGGTGCTCTGGCCATCCTGATCCCAGAGCTGGACCTCGTCATCTCATTGGTCGGTTTGGTCAGCAGCAGTTTTCTGGCGCTGATATTCCCGCCCATCCTGCATCACTTTCCACACGGAGGGTCTTTCGCCTCTTGTCACCATCAAAAACGCCGCCATTAGCCTCATCGGGCTCATCGGCTTCATCACGGGAACTTACATCGCCATCGAGAAGATCATAGAGCGAAACGGACTCAAAAGCACCGAGGCGTTTTCCTCCTTCATGGTGCAGTGATGACCCGAAAAAAGACATTTAGAAAACATATTAGGGCACATTTTTTATTTGATTTGATCCTTCCACTTGCTGCTGTTGGATATGGCGGACACTGCTTTTTTAGCATTAATCTATCGTGTTTTTAAGAAGCTGTGAGAATTTATATTTCATCATTTCATTGCTGTAACAAACTGCCACATTTCATTTAAAGTCCTGGAAAGTCGTGCAAACTTACAATAACGTAATAATAATGATAAATTCATTCCTTCAGGTAGCTTCGAGAGATTTTAGGTAGAGGTATTTAAGAGGTAGTCTATCATTTTGAATATATTAATGTTTAATCAAACTACCTCACACATTTGTTTATTTAAATCTGGACTATCAAAACGTTTTCCACATTAGTTGTTGACATTTAGTTTTCTGTAGATCTTTTAACCACCACATCATTTAGAAGAAAATCAACATGTTTTGTTGCACTTTGATTTATGTCTTATTCAGTAACGGCGCGCTTCTTTGACATTAGACACATCAGGAAAACTCTAAATCAAGTATCTGTATTTTTAGGGAATAATGGGGTTGAGTATCATTAAATTAAATAAGTACTAATTGGAAAAAATAAGAGCTTTTGGGGAATTATTCAGAAGCGAGGTGTTGCAATAGTCCTTGAAAGAATGGAAGTTAATAACATTCATAATTTGGACAAAAGTTAAATTTAAGAACATTTTGAGAAAAAAGTAACTTTTTCTTCATTTCTTTAAAAAGTAATAATTTGGACAAAAAGTTAGAACTTGAAGAAAAATCCAGATTTTTTTATTTTTAATGTTCGACCCTAATCCTCATCCGTAGATATTAAAAAAACCTTTTAAATTATTTATCTTTTGTACAATACATTAAAGTTACATTACAGCATTGTTTGTGTTTCTAGTCTCTATAATGCTATTAGATTAGCAAACATGCAGCCTGTCTCCTTTGAACAATTAACACAATGAATCTTCTTTATTTAAAAAAATTAATTAAGAAAATGCTAAAGCCTCTCTCATTCTGTTGTTTTTTATTTTTCTCTTTGTACATATAACCATTACAAACAATTGTGTCATTGGCATTAGCATACATTTAGCTTTCCATTTCTAAAAGGACAAACCCTTGTTATGCATTGTAGAAACGCAATAAAAACATTTTTGATCTGAAAGTTACATGAAATCAAATATCCTCTAAGATTATGAAATACACAGAAAACAACTCCAAGATTTATGGATAATTCATGAGGAAAGC